TATTTTTGGATGAAATATTCCTTTAATCCCAAAACAGACATTTTAGGTTACAGTTAAACAAAAATGTACATAAACGAGGATAGTCATTTAAATGTTCTTACTTTGATTTATTGTTATAATTTGTACAGTAGATACACTGATATATACAAATATATATTTTTTAACCAATTAGCTATTAATGTAGAAAGAAGTTGTTCTAAAACTGTGATGGAAATTTTAAACTGTATATTCTGGGGTCTAATGGTTTTTTGGGGTCCTTGAGATGTTTTGACGCCCTGACATTTGTGCTTTTTTTCAGTTGCTTATAAACAAATTACTGGCAAAGGTGTAAGTACACTCTATTTAGCACAAACAGGGCTACCATAATATGTGAGCAACATGTATGTACATGTTTGTATTTTTGAGAGAATATTGTTTATGCATGGTTATTGAAAAAACTAAAACTGTGAAATAAGGCCACAAAACACATACTAAATATGTGTCAACAAGACTTTTGACTAATGGATGTTGTCGCCTAGAGTTTTTTCTTCAAAATGATCTGAAAATCATCATGCCTTATTCACATAAAATAATACATTGATTTAAATTTTGTATGACATTATTTTTGTTTGGAAAGGCAATTTGCATAGGGGCGTGACTTGCTGTGATTCACACCTGAGAAGACAATAACCTGTATAATGAGCGCATAATGGGGCTGCATACTAATCAGCCTTTCACTCAGGTGTGTCACTGAGCCACAAGAATGCAAAAAAAAAAAAAAAAAAAAGAAACACAAGTATATATATATATATAAATAATACAAAATTGGTTCACAGTTCCAATTTTTTTTCTTCAAATTGTGCTTGCAGATTGTATAATATCCAAGGTAAACATTTCTAGTAATTGTGCAGTTAATTCTCATACTGTATTTCCAGAAAGTTTTGGAATATATCCCAAATGTGTCACTAATAAAACACAATACAAATAATTTAAAGAGAATGCTTATATTGACCTTTTAAGATTTTGTTTACATCTACCTTGTACCTATATTTTTGCTATTTTATTAAAAATGTTACAATTACAACAACAATAAAAATTAACTATATTTCAAGTGTAATCTTTCTTTGTATAAACTAAAGTATACATTTTATCATACATATTTCACAGTTACGGATTAATTAGTTTGAAGATAGCCAACAATAGAACAAACACTATAATAACATCTTAGTTGATGACTTTATTTTGACAAAACATAATATATATATATATATATATATATATATATATATATATAGATCATATATATATATATATATATATATATATAGATCATATGAGCAGAAATTGGCAAACATAAGCTTATTTGATGTCGCAGTATTTTACAGTAAAAACTTTATCAAAAATTAGTCAACGACATGTTTTTCATATGTAACATATAGTTTTTATGATATATTAGGGCATATAAATGTTAATGTGCAGTTTAATACGTTGCTTATAGAAAAAAAAATATTTCAACATATTTCAGTCGATTTTTACTCATCTCAGTATAGCAATATAGTTAGGTAAAAGCTGTTCATTCATTCACACACAAAAAAGCGATTCATATTCAAATAGTTTTTTTTGCGTTTACAGACTCTATTCCATATTGCGATTAGAACAAAGCACTTGAGAATAAGGATTTTACCTATTCCTCAGCTGGATCCGTTGCTACTCGAAATGAAATTACCTGCCGTCCTGAGGTAATTTTTTCCAGGATTATTATTAAGATAGTATTATTCCTCACAGCGTCGTAAATATGAGTCTCTGAGTAAACTCGGTGGGTTTTATCCAGCTGATGTGGGCGTGGATCGCCTCAGATCATTTGTGTTTGAATAGCGCGGGCAGAGAGTGGGCATGGTCACATTAGCGCGTAATCAGCGATAATGAGCTGAGATGAGAACGACTGACATCTCTCTCTTTTCGTACAGATTACATAAAATGAGAAAATTTGTTTTTTTATATAAATTACTTCATTTAAAAGAAGAGAATTCAGGCTTCATGCCTGTGTGCCTGCGTGACTAAGTATTAGCTGAGTTACAGTTCATTTTCGGACGCGTTTCAGAATGGACTCAGAATGGACCGACAGAGAGAAGGCAGAATGCACATTATGTTTATTTTTCTTTATTTGACGAAAAGCACAACACTTTGTTTTTATTGTGAGTATACACAAAAAAATTAGACACTTAACAGGATCGAATGATGTATAACAATTGCCTGTATGACAAAAATCGACTGAGTTATTCGAGTCTCTTTTGCACTGATAAGAAAAAAAGCGAGCTGGTATCGCCGGCGCGACCGCCGACCCCAGAGGGTTAACACTCTTTGTTTTTTTCCACCCCTAAATGTGCCCCAAGAAGATGAGTGTGGGCTAGTTGCGGTACTGTGGCCCTATGCGTCTGAGGCACAAGCAACTGCTCTACAGTCTCCCCCGCCTCTTTTTTTATTTGGTAGAGCAATCGATTTTTAATTGCAAAATATGGGTGCACTATTGGAAGATTACTGGGAACTATTCCATCCACAACTTTCAAATTTTTCAAAGCATTAATGAGTGTAGGGTCATTCAGTTGGGCTGTTCCATACTAGCCTGTTAACATCTGGTGCCCTGGCACTTCTTGACCGATATCACTCCCTTGGGTTGACCCCAGCTCCTCGGGTTCCATCTGTAACTGTACCCTGTTTTGAGTGATGGGCTGTGGTGGAGGCTCATCTGCTTGTCCTGAGGCCGACTCCGTCTCTTCCAGGTTGTCTCCTCTATACATCCGTGTCTGCACTGGAAGGCAATGGTGTGTTAGAGTTTGGACATTTTGACTTGCATTATTTATTATATTTTGTCTGATTTTACCCCTGGGCCGCTGTGGTTCTCTTGTTCTCCTTGCTTGTACGTCTTGCCACAACATGTGAAACACAGGGCAATCTCGTCCAATTAATACCTGTACCAGCAGAGATCCCACCACCCCAGCTCGAATTTCATGCTTCCCTCTAGTCGTGACTAGTGTTATTGCAGATGTGGGGTATGTACAGGTGTCACCATGCACACACGAAACTGGAACTGGGTTTTCTAGTGAGATTAGCTTTAGGATGACCAAGGACTGGTGCACCAGGGTAATCATGCTTCCAGAGTCCAATAATGCCTCTACATCTTGACTATTTACTGACACAGGGCATGTCATAGCTTGGAACACAGAGTTGCCCAATAAGGCAGCAAAAAGGTTATTTTTCAAGCCACTTGAAGACTCAGCTGTCGGCATAGGCTCATCTGTTTTTTTGCATTGCCATGAAATGTGTCCTACTTCCCCACACTTGTAACAGGTTCTCAGTTTATACAATGTGCTTTCGACTGGCGAATCTTGCTGGCTGGACCTTTTCCCCTGTGGACTAGCCCATCTGGGAGTAGGGGCTCTAAGGAAAAACGTTTGTTGGGGCTGCACACTGGTTGGGAACCGTGAGTTCAGCATTTCTGCACTGGCTTGGTATCTTTCAACTTCTATCAATTCTTGGGGTGAACCTGGGGTTTTCCGACAGACAAATTGTTTAGCTTCAGCGGGTAGGGCTCTTACAAATCTGTCCATCACCAAGGAATCAACCACTTCAGTTGCTGAGTGCCTACCAAGCTCTAACCATTTCTTAGCCAGACGCATTAATTCGTGCATCTGTGTACGTGGTGGCTGTTCTTTCTTGAAGCACCATGCATGGAATCTCTGGACCCTCCCGAATTCTGTAAGAACACTGCGACTTAATATTTCTTTCTTTAAGGAGTCATAACTATTGGCCGAGGTTGGGTCTAGATCTAGGAAGGCTTTCTGTGATTCTCCAGATAAAAATGGTGCCAATATTTTGGCCCATTGATCTCATTTTTCTCTGAAAGCAGTTGTCTCAAAAGCATGCAAGTAAGCTTCGACATCATCATTCTCTCCCATTTTAGGAATAAAGTCACTAGCCCGTATCCTGCTAACATCTTGGGCTTGTTTCATTTCCAATTCTTTAACTTTAAGGTTATTAGCCCGCTTTTGTTCCTCCAGCAAGCCAGCTTGGATTTGCTGCTGCACTCTATTACTCTCTATCATTGTTTTCAGTAACTCTTCCATTTTACAATCAATTGATTGTACTTAGCTTAGAAAACAGGCTTTTGAGGTCCTCCACGTCACTCTGGTACATCAGCAGTCATCCACTTGCTCGCATTCTCCACCATTTGTGACAGCATGAGAGGTTCAGGATCTTTAGTGTGTGCAAGTTCCCAGTAAACACCACTTCAACAGTCTCTTCAGTATGTAGGTGTGTTTAATAATTAAATAAAAGGTTTACAACTTAAATCTCTTCAGCTCAAAATTAACTTAATCTTCTTCGTTTCACAGAGGTATGTCCTTCCTCCAGCCACACACACACACTAATCAACAGTTTCTCAGACTCACTAGCCTGCTGCTAGTCTCATTATCTGCAGCTGTACTCTCAGGCAGCCTGGGTTTTGTAGTACTTAACAGACGGCCATCTTGCTCCAGCCATCTGAGGGTAATGTATCTGCCCTCTAGAACACGCCCTCTCATGATGCCACAATAAATGTTTAAATGCCAAATATATATGTGACCCGATCTGGCGAAATGAGTCGGAAGTCGCAACGTTCTATTTTAAGATATGGGCCGATTATGTGGAAAAACAATGAAATAATAGATTTTTTTTTTTTTTTTTTTTTTGCTAATTTCAAAGAACAGACATTCAAAAATAATCTCCCAAAGTTTCGTAGTCCAGATAATTGAGTAAAGGTATTTAAATTACTATTAAAGTTTACAAAGTATTACTAAATTCGCTGGAAATGAACATTGCTTTTCTCAACTCCTCTCGTCACCTCTGAGCATTTCTCGGGTATCCCCTGAAACGTCACTATCTCTGCTCTTTAAATGGTGTTACACGTTGTATAGAACCAATAAAAAAGCTTAGAAATGTACACAAATGCTGATCATTTGTCGATGGGAAGCCGTTTCGACTGACCGGTGTCGTGCCAAGGTACTTACCCCTGAAAGGAAGTGTATCCCCGGTCGCGGGAGCGCGCTCGCATTCAGCAGGAGGTGCGAATGTCCAAGGTAAATTAAACTATAACACGTGAATTGTTTTACTGTTGTTGTTTTATCGACGAGGTTTAGCAAAGACAGCTATCACGTGGCCCATCAAAAACAAATTAGTTTATTCTTCTGTGGGCTAACCGATCGAACTTCATGCACTGAATTGATCAATTCTCACGACAATGTCTAAAGTTACGGAAAAACCAAGACGACCATATCGTTTCACAAGCAAACAGCCTGTGGATATAAAATTGTTCTGAATCCCCCCTCCTCCTTCCATGGTGAATTATTATCAAAATGATTCAATAATGCATTGCACTTAAACATAGGCTGGTCAATGGCATACACAAAAAACGATTTTACAGATGCTGGCCTATCATCAAGTGTTTTATTTTGTGAATACTGTACATCATGTCTAATAACAGCAGTGAATATGGACACATTTCTTGTTTCCTGACAAAAGTTATAGTGGGATACAGATTTTTTCAGATTGTATATTCGACCTGCCAAAATATGTATCCCCCTCCAAAATCTACAGATGCTGGCCTATCATCAAGTGTTTTATTTTGTGAATACTGTACATCATGTGTAATAACAGCAGTGAATATGGACACATTTCTTGTTTCCTGACAAAAGTTATAGTGGGATACAAATGTTTTCATACCGTATTTTCGACCTGCCAAAATATGTATCCCCCTCCAAAATCTACAGATGATGGCCTATCATCAAGTGTTTTATTTTGTGAATACTGTACATCATGTCTAATAACAGCAGTGAATATGGACACATTTCTTGTTTCCTGACAAAAGTTATAGTGGGATACAGATTTTTTCAGACCGTATTTGTGTGAAAAACTAAGAATTATAGATTCATGCTCTGTGTTTTGTTTTGTTTCTAAGATGACCTGACTGACATATGTCACTTCTGTGGATCAGAAGGACCCAAGGCAGATTTCTGTTGGGTAAATCAAACTTAAGAAATGTGAAATGAAATATGTTTTGATATAAAGTTATTAAGAATTTTATTGTAGTGTTATGTTGGATACTTATATTCTATTTCTTCTATTTTACCCAGGACTTACAAACATTACATAATTCTTTTATCTCCACATTAATTACCGTATATTACAAATATAACATCAATTACACAGGAATGAAAATTTGCAGCCTCTTACTGAATCCAAATAATTTGTTTTCCAGATTCAGTGTGACATTTGTTTGCGGTGGTTCCACCATATGTGTGTTCAAAGCCCACCAACGGAGGAGGCCTTCCTGTGTACTGCTTGTACTCCTTAATTTTGTGTACATTATTGTTCCGGAGGAATTTATTAATTAAATCTTGTTGTATTACATTACACCTTCCAAGTTTGTGTCTTATCATCTTAAAATTATTAAAAACCAACAGACTGATGCGGGACATTATCTCAATATGCGACGTGCGGTACAGCGCAAAGCGGGACGGGTGCTCACCCTAGTGAAAATACACTTAACTTTTGGAAAGAAGACACTTCTTGACAGCTTTATTGTAATTTCCGCATAGTATAGTCCATATACACACAAGGGAACGAAACTTCGTTTCACTTGGACCACAGTGCCGCAAAGAAGAATTAGAATCAGAAAAAGATGTGAAGGAATGAGGAAGGAAAGTACAGACGTAGTGCAGACATACATGATAATAGAGGCATCCATAGGAATTTTTTAATAAAAAAAAATATATAACACAATAACAATATTAAAAATAATACAACATTTAAATAATGCAAGATAGTACAGTAATAGAAATGTAGGCCCATATGAATGTACAGATAGGCCCATGTTATTTACAGGTGTCCAGTTTAAGATGCTATATAGGCTACAGATGCAGGCAACAATTTTGAGATGTTATGTACAACATGACAGTTATGAAAGAGTGTATAGTTATTAGAGTTTTATCTGTTCAGACGGGAGGGCAACAGTTCAGAGAGAAATTGGGCTGTGTGTGTGGGGTCCAAAGTGATTTTCTTAGCCCTTTCATTAACTCTGGAGGTGTAGAGATCTTGGAGGTTGAGCACTATCCGCTGCGGTCGGAGGCCCTACAATTCCCACGCCAGAAAGTGATGCAGCTGACTGAAACACTCTCTATAGTATCTCTGTAGAATGTGGTGAGGATGGGTGGTGGGGGGCTTTCCTTGCTTTCTTGGCGCCACAGGAAGTGGAGACGTTGATAGGCCATCATCTGTGGAATATGGAGAGGGGGATACCTTTTATAGCAGGTTTAAATATGCTCTGAAAAAATCTGTATCCCACTATAACTTTTGTCAGGAAACAAGAAATGTGTCCATATTCACTGCTGTTATTACACATGATGTACAGTATACACAAAATAAAACACTTGATGATAGGCCATCATCTGTAGATTTTGGAGGGGGATACATATTTTGGCAGGTCGAAAATACGGTCTGAAAAAATCTGTATCCCACAATAACTTTTGTCAGGAAACAAGAAATGTGTCCATATTCACTGCTGTTATTACACATGATGTACAGTATTCACAAAATAAAACACTTGATGATAGGCCATCATCTGTAGATTTTGGAGGGGGATACATATTTTGGCAGGTCGAATATACAATCTGAAAAAATCTGTATCCCACAATAACTTTTGTCAGGAAACAAGAAATGTGTCCATATTCACTGCTGTTATTAGACATGATGTACAGTATTCATAAAATAAAACACTTGATGATCGGCCATCATCTGTAGATTTTGGAGGGGGATACATATTTTGGCAGGTCGAAAATACGGTATGAAAAAATTTGTATCCCACTATAACTTTTGTCAGGAAACAAGAAATGTGTCCATATTCACTGCTGTTATTACACATGATGTACAGTATTCACAAAATAAAACACTTGATGATAGGCCAGCATCTGTAGATTTTGGAGGGGGATACATATTTTGGCAGGTCGAATATACAATCTGAAAAAATCTGTATCCCACTATAACTTTTGTCAGGAAACAAGAAATGTGTCCATATTCACTGCTGTTATTAGACATGATGTACAGTATTCACAAAATAAAACACTTGATGATAGGCCAGCATCTGTAAAATCGTTTTTTGCAGTGGCATAGGTTTGATTTTGAAATTGGTGGGGACGGGGACAACAATATATAAATATATTTTAAGTTTTGATCGAAATTATTGCTGGGATATATCAGTGTCACTGGATATTGGTAGGGACACGTCCCTAGCGTCCCTACTAAATTCTACGCCCCTGGCTTTTTTGTGTATGCCATTGACCAGCCTATGTTTAAGTGCAATGCATTATTGAATCATTTTGATAATAATTCACCATGGAAGGAGGAGGGGGGATTCAGAACAATTTTATATCCACAGGCTGTTTGCTTGTGAAACGATATGGTCGTCTTGGTTTTTCCGTAACTTTAGACATTGTCGTGAGAATTGATCAATTCAGTGCATGAAGTTCGATCGGTTAGCCCACAGAAGAATAAACTAATTTGTTTTTGATGGGCCACGTGATAGCTGTCTTTGCTAAACCTCGTCGATAAAACAACAACAGTAAAACGATAACTTAAACAATTCACGTGTTATAGTTTAATTTACCTTGGACATTCGCACCTCCTGCTGAATGCGAGCGCGCTCCCGCGACCGGGGATACACTTCCTTTCAGGGGTAAGGGTACAGTTGAGACACTTTTTGCGTTTAGATTTTTCACACAAAAATAGATGCTGAAAAGACGTGAATTTCCACATGATATGCCACATGACATTTCATGAGCTTGTAGACTAAGATATTATCAATCAATATTACTCATTAGTAGTTTATATTTTCCACAATTAGCTCATAAAAATAAGGTGCTTTTTGTCTCAACTTTGTCTCAACTGTACCCATATGTGGTACAGTTGAGACAGTACCATGGTACAGTTGAGACACCCATTTTTAATGATGTAAAGGTAACTAATCGTTCATTGAAAATATAATAAATAAAGACAAATAAAAAAATAACAATTGGGCGACATGTTTGTTTATTCATCCATTCAAATTCATTAATGTTATTTAAATTAGCACTGGTTAAATTTTATAAAAAAGAAACAATATATTTTTTATATACATTAATAATACACAGTTTAATTATCACAAATACCAAATTTTTATTTCATTTGCAGCTTATGCTGGCTAATTATGACATTTAACCTGTTATCATAACACTGAACAACTAAACAGTGTGTTTCCTAATAGAACTCTATCGCGGGTACAGTTAAGACAGTGTGTCTCAACTGTACCCTGATGGCCACCTCGCGCATTTCTCTAGATTTTGCAATGACCATGCCTGAAACAATCCCATGAAATATGCCCGTTTTTAGGGCACAGAATAACGTTTGTGATTATACCAGTTACGTTTAACAGTCACATAAGGATAATAAGCTATTCATTGTGGAGTGTGCATGGTGAAGTGAACGTCTTACCTTAAAAAAAAAACTTTTGCCGATATCTTCGGAGCGGAGATGCGTCCATTGATCAAATTTCCCACGATCAAAGAGGACACTAATACGCATGTGCACAGCAAAAATCACAACTTGTGCTGGCTGCGCACGCAAGTTATTTAAAAGGTGTCTCAACTGTACCTATGTCTCAACTGTACCCAGTCTACCCTACCTTGGCACGACACCGGCACGCGATTGGTCCAGCTACCCTCCTGTCAGACTCGCAGCGAGCGCTCTGTGGAATAAACAAGCTAGCAGATCTCCTCAGAAAGATTACATTTTATTAATTTGAGAAATGTCGTTGTCAAAAGCGAGCAAAGTTGCCAAAGCGTCATCAAGCCCCCTGGCCATTGCACACTGAGTCCGCGTTTTTTTCGTATGCGTTTTTTCGTCGTTTTTTCGTATTGATTCGGTGGCTCCGAATTGTCAAAACACCATTCAAACTGCTTGCTACGGATGCGAAAAACTTACGATTGTTTTTATATAACGGACGAAAGTTTCGTAGTGTGCAAGCGTGATTGACATAACGTGATTGACAAATGTGAATGAGTGTAGCTATTTATCAGCAAGGAGAATCCATTAATGTGTTAACCCAATATTTGTTGGTACACTAAGATATGATTGCATAGACTAGCATTATTTGATCTCTGTTTCCTTGTCTCTCTGCCTCTCACTTTCTCTCTCTCTCACACACACACACACACACACACACACACACCCTCTCTCTCAAGCAAAAATGTAGCACCTCTGTTCAATCTTTCTGATTTTAGTACATTTTTGTAAAAGGTAGGCCTACTTGTTAAATTATTTATTCAAATAAAAACTTTAAAATAATTTGAGCTTCAGCCTGGTTTAATAGCATTTATATTAATGTCTTTGGTCAAATTAAGCTGTAAAATAAATAGTTTATCCCTTTAAATGTATTGGATTTTGAAAGATATCAACAAAAAACGGCAAAAAAACTTTAAAAACGATTTTCTCAGGCTTTCAATTGGCAAAAGAGGGCAGACGACCATAATTCAAATGTGTATATCTTTACAACCATTCAAGGTATGACTTTGACTAGGATATCAATTGAAAGCTTATGGTCTCCTCTTTCCATTAATATCAAAATCGCATTTTTTTTAATTTGGGTCACTGTGACTCATTTTGCTGGATCAGGTCACATATACATACATTTTAGTCTGGCACCAGTTTAAAGTCCCTGTAAAGTCAAAATTAAGTATGTGTTCTGAGTTTGTCACTAGCCACCCAGCCAAATTTGAATGTTAAAAAAAAAAAATCTTGAAAAAATGAGCATTAGGGTGTACTCACACTAGACACGGTTGCCATGAACCGGGCCCGAGTACGATTGTCCCCCCTCTCCACTCCCCCTCTGGCCTGCACTCACATAGGGTTTCAGCATTCGTGCCGGAGCACGCTTACGTCATTATGGTGCGACGGTTTCGGGATAAACAAGAAGAGCGGCGCTCTCTGAACACAATGGAGCAGGGCCGGAGTGGGACTAATTTTCAGCCCTGGAGTTTCATACCTTAGACCGGCCCACTTTCCCGACCGACTATATTAAAATAATGTAATTAAACCCTCAGTATATAAGTCTTCAATAGTGCACTGTTCTGTACAGCCTTGTAATTCATTGTATTTTTCAAATATATAATTTTCTATTCAGTGCAATAGCCGTACACAGGGTTTTATAAATACAAAGGTCCCAAAAGTGATCTGGGTTCGGGGGCATATTATTTTTCCACTGTCATTGGCAAAGAACATGTATATCTGTGTTAAATAGGAATAAAGTTATTCTCTTTCTGGGCACAGTATGCAATAGGCTATTGCTCTTCCTGCTCTCCTCTCTCATCTCCATCTCCTTCTCTCATTCTTCTTCTCTCAGTCTCTTTATCTTTAGGTTACCTTTGATTGATACAGTCTTTGCAAACTGATTATTTATGTCGGTCGTTTAAAACTTCTATCGTAAAACAGCTGTTTAGTTTAGCCACTTGCATCTTATCTCGTGAAGCGTCGCGTTGGGATTCGCGCGCGGCCCCGGCTCGCGCTTCTGTGAACATACATCCCGCTTGCTTTGATCGGTCATCTCAAACATTTTGCCATTGCCGACGAGCAGTGTTGAGTAGCTACTGAAGCAGATCCGATGAGGTCGGTTATCGTCGCAATATGCG